CGAACCCTCGGATGAAAGGCTGACACGTTACCACTGTACTAGCCTGGAGGCTGTCAGGTACATTTGACCATTGTCCAATCTGGAAATCCACACATTGCCTAACTGAACCAATCAATTTACCTGGGGCATCCTATCACTATATTTTGTATAAGCTGCTAATGACCTTAAATGTGGATGCAGCAGAAAATTTTTCAATAGATGATAAATAATAGTGCATGGTTAATGGCTAATGGTTAAAACAAATAAATGTACTATGCATCAAAGGTGTCAAAAGTTTTAGACAGCATTATTAGATGGTTGTAAAAAGGGTAAAGGGGTATAAATCATTGTCAGAGTAGTAGGAGGAGAAGAATCTGGAGAATTAGAGAAGAGGGAGTGGGAGGATCTGGAGGAGAACACTGTTGTGACAGAAGGAAGTTACTTGAACATCCAGGTAGGAGGTAAGGATAATGGGGAAGAAGAGGGGAGGGTGCACATGGGGAAGGGAAGGATGGGGTGTGTAGGGAGGGAATGAGAGGAAGAGGAGGAGGATGGATATCAGCAATTATTGTGAATGTAGATAGAATGGAAGAAGAGAGATTGGATGAGAGAGAGGAGTATTCTCTTGGGTTATGTTCAGGAAGTTATAAATGTCCTCATGAGTTTCTGGAGGGGAGTTGGGTATTGAGATTTAAGAGAAACAAAGTTGTTTTTTTTATGAGAGGAGGAGACATGTCAGAGGAACAGAGGAAAAGGTAACCCCCCACCCTCATCCCTTGGTCATTGTTGTCGTGTGGGTGCTTGGGAGACGGGGATTGAGGGGCAATGAAGTGATTACCCCTATCTTGCCTCGACTAATTTTGCATGGGCTTTTCTTCCCCTTTCCTTTTCATTTTCTTCATTCCCTTGTTCTGTCCACCTATCCATTTTTGCCGCAGTACTTTATCATAATGCTCATTATTCCCATTACTCCTTCCCCTTCTAACAAAATTTACCTCATGTTATACCCCATCAGCTCCCCCACTCTACTCTTTTCACCCTCTAGTATTGTTCAACCTATAACTTTACCCTAATCATTAACCCTTCCCCGATGGGCATGGCATGTACGAATATGCCATGCCCACTGCGAGTTTACTTGTTTGATTGTTTTTACACATAGATGGCTACACTTGTACTAATTCTCCAATGAGCCAATTACGAGTACTGCCTGTCTCGTTTACCCTTTTCTTTAATTTACGAAAATATTTTACATTATCTTATTTTGCTACTACAGATAGTCCCTTACTTAAGAACATTCTACTTATGAACATTCCATACATACAAACAAAATTTTTTAAGTACTAAAGTCCAAAAAATTGTTTGAAAGGTACTAGAAAACTTCTAATTTCCCGGGCACGAATATAGTTCAAGAGTCTGGTACTGTATAAGGTATGTCGTACTTATTGGGATTTATTTACAGGTATTCTTAATGTAAACAAAACTTTAAAACAATGGGAAAGAAGGTAATGGAGACCCGACTTTCGACATACAAACAAATCAACTTACAAACAGCCTCTCAGTCCCCATTATGTTCTTAAGTTGGGGACTTACTGTACTAATGTTTATAACATTAAATTAATTATAATGTTTATAATAAAAATAACACCACTGATATTCATAGCACTAGTAAAAAGTACATTTTCCTACCAGTTCAAGGAAAGGTGAAATCAGGTAAGGCAGAGCCATCTATGTGTAGAGACATTTCACAAAAAATATAAAAAATGAGCACAGCATTTTCTGTTTTTTATTCATTTTCCCTGTCGGCAAGGGTTAACTCATTCCTTACCCTTTTTGCTACTCTAATTTAGCATAGAACCATATGACCTTTGATGTCATATAGCACTTCCTTACACGCTATCACTATATTTTGAATACAACACCAATGACCTTAGATATCCACACAGTGAAAATTTTTCAATGAAATAACTGTAGGAGAGGATGCAGTACAAAATGATGCGATGGAATGTTTAGTGTGTCTGGTGTGACAGGTAAAATGAGGAGGGATAAGTACCAGGAAGGTGGTAGTGATTGCAGTTATTGGATACAGACTGGAAAAAGGATTTGATTAGGGTTGGGGAGTGAATAGAGGTAGGATGGTAAGGGGTTGGGGGAATTTTGGGGGGAGATTCTGAGACATCAAGGGAAGAAGGGAGAGGAACTGCGCAAAGGACAGTACTGGAATAGGTAGCAAGAGAAAAACCTTGTTGGGGTGCTTCTGTCTGGCCTTGCATAGAGTGGGGCCCAGTTATTTTATTAAATGTGATACACATAAGAAGTTGGATAGCAGTTCAGGTAGGGATTATTAGATCACAGTTGTCAGAGGATGATGTGTGGGATTTTGCAAGGATAGGATAAGGTAGAGATAAGCAAAGGAGAGAGAGGTTTAATGGCAATTAGATCACAGTCTTTGGGAGAATGTCAGGAGGGAGAGAATCCAGGGAAAGGTTTGCTGTGACAAAGATCACATCCAGGGGGAAGTGGGAGGGATAATGGAGGAAGGGGGAGGGGAGGATACAGTTGAAGTGTGTGTGTGTGTGTGTGTGTGAAGCCCCCATAATAAGGATGCATTATGGTAAAGTATTGTTGCAAAAAGGGTAAATATGAGTCATTCATCTGGATAACTGGACGGAAGAAGGGGATGAAGAAGAGAAGGAGAAGAAAAGATCCTGCAAAATTAGATTTGCAAGAGATTGGGGGGAATCCTTGTCATAGACAGGGCAGTTTGTTGGGGAGATGGAGACAGTTCCAGTTTAAGTATTAGGGGAGGGATGAGATTGGGCAAGAATGGGTATGCCAGTGAAGTCAGTCAGGATTGATAATGCTATAGCCTTGGATTCAGATGTAAATGTGAGAAGGCAGGAATGATAGGCTGGCTGCGGAAGGAAACTTTGCCTACTTGTTTTTGGAGGCATTGCTGGAAGGGGAGAATGTTGTGCTGTGGGAGGGATTACAAAAAATTGATCCCCTTTTGCTGGGATAAATAAGAGTATTCTAAATATTTGTAGAGGAAGATGGAGTAGTGTTGAGAGAGGTGTTGGACAATAAGGTTGCATAGTAGTAATAAAAGAAGCTGATGAACTAGTAATAAGGGGAGTTGATGAAAAAAGTAGTGGGGGTGGAAGAGATGAAGCAGTGGATGGATGCTGGGAGAGGAGGAATGTTTCCTGGAGATTGAGTATTGACCTGGCTGGATAATTTGGACTGGGCTGATGTGATTGTAGGTATTGACCCTTAGACCTCAGCCCTTGCCTTAACTAATTTTGCAAGGTCTTTTCTTCTCCTCCTTTCCTTTTCCTTCTTTTTTTTCATCCAGTTTTTCTGTCCACATATCCTAAAGATGGGAGGGGAAGTTGAGCGAATATTGTTGCATGACGTAAAGTGTCCTCTGCAAGGGATAGTGCAGCACTGTACTGCTGCTGCATCATAGTCAATGAGGCAGGCAAGTAGGTCGTTTTCACAGTCTGACCAATCCTTGTCATAGACAGGACAAACAGCCAGGGAGATGGAAGCAGATCCAGTACAAAAGTATTACAGATGTGAGGTCAGTCAAGGTAGGTAATGCACGAGTTTGGGACTCGGATGAAACTATTACAAGGTTTATATAGGTGGTAGTATTAGAAGGACGAGGGCAGGAGAAAGAGCGAGTGGTGTGGAGTGAGGTACTACTGTGGGAAGGAGGATAATCAGAATGAAGAGTAGTAATGAGATAGGAGGGAGCAGAAAATGAAGAGGACAGCAGGAGATGGAGTGGAGGATGTTGACAGACATGAAGGGATGTTTACTGAAGATTGAGTAATAAATTAGGTTGATAATTCAGAATGGATAGAGTTGACAGCAAGCATCAAGGAAGGAATAGTAGAAGCACTGGTCGGTCCCATGACCAAAGGAGAGGTAGGGGTAGGGAAACCAGAGAAGTCAAATTTTAGATAGGTTGCTGAAAGGGCAATGCCCATTGTTCAGGCAAAATTGCCAGGCAAACCAAGAAAGGACCCCTGCCCACAATCAAGAGAAATCCCTAGATAAGGCAATTTGCCATGGAGTTTAACAGTTTTCTACCAAGTACAGATGGATGGCTTTGCCAGACACCATCACCCCATTGTATGACAACACAGACTTGCCTGGTAAATGAGCAAAGTCCCTGGAAATTTTCTGATCATATCACTACATGCACTGAGGTACCAAACATCATATCACAAAAGATTATGCAAGATGCACATTAGGCCTATATGTTTATGATTGTTTTTTAAAAGTTTATCATTTGTGATCCACATGATTGTAAAAGATATTCAAACATAACAGGCTTTATAAAGAATTAAGAGTATTTTTCAAAGAGGAAATCAAAAAGATAGTTTTCAAATATATTCACAAATATTTAGCATTTTTTTACACAAGCAAATACAGTAATTCCATACACCAAATAACATCTGCAAATTACATCACTCAAGGAGAGCTCTATATGCAGTAGTTTGTATATATAGAAAGTTCCTTTGTAAGCTGGAAGAAATTGATTTATTTTTCCTGTCCCTTTTTGGCAGCAAAAAGGAATTTTTCCTCAAAGATATCATCCTATAATGAGACAGGAAATAGGAAAAAATCCAATAAAAATTAATTACATTTTAAACAACCTATTTTCAAAGCTTCAAAGAACACAACTTCCCTATGTATTTCAGTTAAATATTCTTATAGTATAACACAATTTCTCTTATAACACTGAACCAATTTGCATAAGAAAAGCAGAATTATTTGAACAATTTAACCCAATGACGCCAGGTGTACAAAAGGAAAAAAAAACTACGCTCTGGCAAACAAAGGCGGCGTACCGACTTTGAGCGCCGGAGTACGGGGCGTCAGCCCGAATCACTGGCTCGCCGCGCTTTGGCGCGCCGCCGGCTGGTTTGGCCGCACGCCAGCTTTCGAGCGATTTGTTTACACGCGTATCGCCGTCACCCGGCGGCAAGGGGTTAAGGAGTAAGTTAAATCTCTTGTCCACAAAAAAATTTATTTCACATTAACATAAATGCATACACAATACACAAACAGAACCTATTACAACTGCCGTTTCCTTTTATAGTACAAAACTGGGCTGTATTTTAACCATGCTAAACTTCCAGCCAAGAAAGAAAATCCTTATTAACATTTTTCATTCAGCATATTTGAAAATAACTATTATATCATACTAATAGAAAAAAAAACATCTAAATTTTAATTTCCTAGCAAGAGAGTTGAGACGTCAGAGAGAATGAAGATAGTTATTGATTATTATCATGAACGTATATTTTATCATATTTGAAAATAAAAAGTTGAGCAGAAACTATTGTGATCTTTCCACGGGTTTCATTGTAAAGTGAAGCTGATGTCGCCCTTGGAGGTAATCCCTTTATCTACAATGTGTTGCGCATTCGGGGAAACGCTCAACACTGATACTCTAGCCTCCTACGAACCCATCCTATTTTGCTCATAGATCCTGATGTTCATAACCACGTCCGCTTCTTTCGGCGTGAGGAGCGTCACCCCCTGCTCGGCCAGGGCTTTCACTGGTGAGATAACAAGGCTGAAAGCATCTTGGTCGTCGCGCCACATGCGTATGGTGTCCCTCAGCAGAAAGGCCGTTGCATGAGGCAAGGTGAGCAAGATCACGGACTCCTTGACTCTGGGGAAAAATGTTGGTCAAGAAATTGGTAACGACAGTAACTAATGCATTTTTTTTTTTTAAGTGAAATCTGTCACTTGATTTTTTTTTTTTTTTTTCCTTTATGACAATAAAGAACCCATTTTTAAAAATATCTAATTCAGTAAGACAAAAGCACTACTCTGTAATTTATATTAAAAAAAACAAATAATAATAATAATAATTAATTAATAAATAAATAAAAAATAAATAAATAAATAAATAAAATAAAAAATATCCATAAACAAAAAACATAGTGCAAATTAAGGTAGAGAAAGGCACAAGGAAAGAAATGTGAAGGCTAAGAAAAGAAAAACAATATATGTAGCAGTTGTAGAAAAATCTACTATGCGCAGTGTACATAATAGGTTTTTCTACAACTGTGTGTAAAGTGGGTTTTCCATTATAGTGACAACAAGGTTGAGTGGTTGGCCATTCAAAATAACAGGTACTGTGTAATCTCTCATTCTGACTGAACTGTTTGAAGTATAACAATCATGAACTCAGATTAATGCTACTATTGTGACTGTA